CAGTGGCTTACTCCTGTAATTCTAGCACTTTGGGAAGCAGAGGAGAGAGGAATACCTGAGCTCAGGCTGGGTTCAAGACCAGCCTGGGTAATTTGGCAAGACCCTCGTCTCTACAATAAATCAAAAAATTAGCTGGGCATGGTTGCATGTGCCTGTGGTTCCAGCTACTTGGAAGGCTGAGGCGGGAGGATCACCTGAGCCCAGTGGGAGAGGCTGCAGTGACCATGAGTGTGCCACTGCACTCCAGCCAGGGAGACAGTGTAAGACTCTGACTCAAAAAAAAAAGTAGTAATGCATGTTCGTTGATAAAATTTTTCAGAAATCCAGAAAGATTTAAAAAAGAAAATTAGGCCAGGTGTGGTGACTCACACCTGTAATCTCAGTGCTTTGGAAGCCTGAGGCGGGAGGACTGCTTGAGCCCAGGAGGTTGAGACCAACCTGGGCAACACAGCAAGACCTTGTCTCGACAAAAAAATTTAAAAGTTACCTGGGCATGGTGGCACAGGCTTGTAGTCTCAGCTACTCAGGAGGTTGAGGCAGAAGGATCGCCTGAGCCCAGAAGGTCGAGACTGTAGTGAGCCAGGGTCTTGCCACTGCACTCCACCTTGGGCGACAGCAAGACTCCACTCTCTGCCCCTAAAAAAAATTAAAACATGGCTGGGTTACCACTCAGCCTGTTTGTAACCTTTGAAACATTGTTCTAGGAATGGATAGATTTTTGTTTGTATGCTTTCCTTAAATGGAACCCTATTACTCATTTTACTTTTACTCTCTGCTCTTTGCTACTGAACTGTCCAAGTCAACAAATACATATCTGCATCATCATTATTATGGCTGAAAAATAATTCATTGTATGGCTATACAAACATTCTTTATCTAACCCAGGGTGTCTCAATCTCAGCACTGTTGACACTTGGGGCTGGATAATTCTTTACTGTGGGAGGCTGTGTTGTGCATTGTAGGATGTTTAACTGATACCCTGTCCTTTGCATTGGTACTAGATGCCAGTACAGTCTTCTCCTAGGCAGGAAATAAAAAATGCCTCCACATATTGTCAAATGTCTCCTGTGCGCAACATCGCCCCTACATGAGAATCACTGATCCAACCAATCTACTGTTTGACATTTAGGTTTTTTCTACTTTGTCACAATTTAAAACAGCAGCACTTATGAAGCTCCAAACACATATAAACTCAGAACATTTTCAAATTACTTCTTAGCATAAATTCCTAGCAAGAAATAGCACCTTAAAATTTTTGAGCCGGGCTCGGTGGCTCAGCCTATAATCCCGCGCCTTTGGGAGGCTGAGGTGAGTGGATTGCCTGAGCCCGCGGGTTCGAGACCCGCCTGGGCAGCGAGACCTCATCTCTACAATAAATCAAAAAATCAGCCGGGTGTGGTAGCACATGCCTATAATTCCGGCTACTTGGTAGGCTGAGGCGGAAGGATCACCAGAGCCCAGCAGGTCGAGGCTGCGGTGGCCGGGAGTGGCCACTGCACTCCAGTCTGGGTGACAGAGTGAGACTCCAACTCAAAAAAATTAAAAAAAAATTTTTAATATCAGCTGGGTGCAATGGATCATGCCTGCAGTCCCAGCACTTTGGGAGGCGGAGGCGAGAGGATTGCCTGAGCCTAGGGGTTTAAGATCAGCCTAGGCAACTTGGTGATCTCATCTCTACAATTAATTTTTTAAAAAATTAGCTGAGCATGGTGGCACACTCCTGTGATCCCAGCTGCTTGGAAGGCTGAGGCAGAAGGAACACCTGAGCCCGGCAAGTAGAGGCTGCGGTGGCCGTGAGCATGCCACTGCACTCCAGCCTGGAAGGCAGAGACTCCGACTCAACAACAATAAAAAATTTTGATGTCTATTCCCGGATTGCCTTCCAGAAAGGTTGTATCAATTTATAGTACCATTGAAACAGCAGAAATGTCATTTCCTCAGATCCTGTCCACTTCCAGGTATTGTCAATCTTTTAAATCTTTCTTAGTGATAAGCAAAGCAAAAGATTGCTCACCCCTTTTAACTTGTAATTCTTTGATTACTTAGTAGATTGGTAGCTACAACTATGTTTATTGGCCATTTGCATTGCTGCTTTTATGTTCTACTTGTTAATGTCCTTTATCCATTCATGATTTTGCAAGAGCTATTAATTCTTTCTTCCAGTTTGTCATTTTTCTTGTAACTTTTATGCTGGGTTTTCCTGTACAGAAGAGACACATTTTTATTTATTTATTATTTAATTTTATTTTGAGTTGGAGCCTCACTCTGTCACCCACGCTAGAGTACAATGGCACAATCACAGCTGACCACAACCTCGACCTCCTGGGCTCAGGCAATCTTCCAACTTCAGCCTCCTGAGTAGCTGGGACTACAGGCATGCGCCACCACACCAGGCTAATTTTTTAATTTTTTGTAGAGATGAGGTTTCACTATGTTGCCCAGTCTAGTCTCAAACTTCTGGGTTCAAGCATTGGCTTCCCAAAGTACTGGGGCTGCAGGTGTGCACCACTATACCTGGCTTGTTTTTCCAAATTATCAGTCTTTTTACTACGTTTTTACCTTTAAAGGAGTCTTGCTTAGAAAGATCACCTCTGAAATCTTAAACTTTAGAATTTTTTTTTTTTTTTTTTTTGGAGTCAGAGTTTCACTCTGTCACCCAGATTGGAGTACAGTGGCATGCTCAGAGCTACTATAGCCTTGACCTGCTGGGTTCAGGCGATCCTTCTGCCTCTGTCTTCCAAGTAGCTGGAACTACAGGTGTGCACCACCGTGTCCGGCTAATTTTTTGATTTAATGTAGAGATGAGGGCTCACCAAGTTGCCCAGGCTGGTCTCAAACACCTGAACTCAGGCAAACCTCTCACCTCGACCTCCCAAAGTGCTGGGATTATAGGCATGAACCACCATGCCTAGCTAAAATTTAGAATTTTACTCTACTAGGCCAAACTTTTACTTTCTGTATCTTTCATACAGTAACACTAACCTTTTTTGCCTTCTAGATTAATGCATCTCAAACTTGAATGTCCATATATATGATCTAGAAACTTTATTAAAATGCATGTTCTGATTCTGTAGGCTTAAAGTGAGATGAGATTCTGCATTTCCAACAATGCTCCTTGATGCCAATGCTGTTCCTGGACCACACTTGGAGTCGCTAGGTCCTAAACCTTCAGGCCACAATCCTCTGTATTCCCAGCCTCCATTCTTTCTGGCTTTCTCCTGAATCTGCTTCCCTTCTTACCCAGTGTGAGCTTCCAGAACAGCAATTTCAACTAAATCTCACCCCTTTGCTTTTCTGGAGTAGCAGTCCTGGCAATCGCCATTCCAATATTGATAACACTTCTTCCCGTCTCCTGCCCCCCAGCACCACTACAAAGTCATATAGCTCCCACTTACTTCTATTGCAAATGCATGCTTTCTTTTTCTTCTTTGTCTTCCTTTTGTTCTGTTTTGTTTGTTTCTTTTTCTTTCTTTCTTTCTTTTTTTTTTTTTTTTTTTTTGAGTCAAGGTCTCACTCTGCTGCCCAAGTTGGAGTTCAAAGGCATGCTCACAGCCACTGCAGTCTTCACCTGCTGGGCTCAGGAGATCCCTCCACCTCAGCCTTCCAAGTAGCTGAAACCACCTGCATGTGCCACCCTGCCCGGTTAATTTTTTGATTTATTGTAGAGACGAGGTCTCACCAAGTGCCCGGGCTGGTCTTGAACCCCTGGACTCAAGCAAGTCTCTCATCTCTGCCTCCCAAAGTGCTGGAATTACAGGTGTGGGCCACCACACCTAGTTCAAGACCTTTAAAAAAAAATTCTTTCTTGGGTCACAATGAGAGAAACTCTGCTTTGTTAGTCTGCGGTGGGGCCCTGGCGCTTGTATTTTAATCTGTTAAAAAAGAAATGATAACTCAAATTAGTGGTTTTCAAACTTTTAGTATTCACTAGACCCTTGCGCAAGCCTTCATTACTCTGACAGGGCACCAAAAATCCATACAATAGTGTGTGTGTGAGTCGGTGTCTGTGTGAGAGAGAGAGAGACAAAGATGGGGGGAAGGGGGTGTCTTTTAGAGAGCGCTGAGGAGCCACAACTACCTCACAGGTGAAGTCTTTTTTCTCCCTAGCACAAACACAGACTATCCTGTCCTTCCAGAAAGAAGCATCTTAGGAAGAGAACTGAAATTGGCCTAGGGAGTAGAGGTGGAGAAAGCATTGGCATTACAACAGTGACTCTGCTTTCTTCCATGTGATTTCCAAATTTAAATTCAGCTGATTCAGTACAAATCCCACTCACCACATATATTTGTCGGAAAATTTCCTGGACTCCACCTTTGATGGCATTTAAAACACACACACACACACACCTTTCCTAAAGCCCACACGACTGCTGAGAAGGGCTGGGGAGTCCCGGCTCCAGGTGGGACCCGGCACGCCCCACCGCGGAAAATCCGCCGAGCCCTAGACGTTTCCGAAGTGGCTGCAGCTGGCGACAGCCAGTGCCCCTCAGGGGAGAGCCTGGGAGCCTGCCCTGAAACCTGCCCTGGGCGCAGCCGTGGCGGAGGCGGGACGCAGACCGACGTCCCCATCGGGCGCCCGCTCGGCCCGCAGCGCCGGGAGAGCTGGCTCAGCGCGGGCGCTGCCCGGCAAGGTGCGAAGGTGGCCGAGGCCCCGCCCAGCAGGGACCCGAGTGGGCGG